GCTAAAAGTGATTTGAAGTATTTTTAAATAAAAGTTTAGTATCGTAAACGCGACTTTTTTTAAAAGAAATTTTGTAAAAAAAAAAAAAAAAATGTAAAAGTATAAGTATAAAATTACCATTGTTATATATTACTGTATTATGTATTGTATATTAAACCGCCAGGGCTGGACCGGTTTCAGGCAAGGGTCATGAACTAGTTCCTAACTAGTTCAGGACCGGACTTTTTAAGGACTGGACCAGGACCGGACCAGACGGACTTTTTAACATCCCTACTTTTTTGTTTATTCTCAGTAGTTTTATTTTTTTTAAAAAGTACTTTAAACTGTATAAATAATGTAAAATTAAATTGATTTAAACCGCCAATCATACGAATGTCTGCCTATGAGGTTTGACCCCTATTATTAATTTTTTTATGATTAAATGATTATGATTGCGATCGCGATTGTTAATTTATCATAAATCTGAGCTTGACACAAACTCAGATTGGCTGGCTTTAGCAATCGCGATCGCAATCACAATCATTTAATCATAAAAAAATTAATCATAGGGGTCACAAAATTATTCAAACCGCAACAAACGTTTAATTGTCCGGAGCGAAGCGACAGACTCAATTTCTACGCATGGTAATAAAATGTTATATTCTTGATGTTTATATTTAAAAACATCAAAAAAGTAACTTTGATTTTCTGTCTGTCCACTCACATGATATAGACACATTTGCGTTTCTAAATTATGTTCCGGTTTTTTCTGATTCCTAGTTATACGTATAGTTTATTAATCGTTTACATATCGGCGGATTTGCAGAATTGGGCTTAAATTAGGGTTTATAGATTTCAAAAATGTGATTGTAAAAAAAAAAAAAAAACAAAATTTCAGCTATTTATGTCATCTTGTAATTGTTAAATCCAGGGTTCTTAATTTAGACCCAATTCCGCAAATTCGCCGATATGAAACATTTAATAGTTCATATTAATCGCTTAATTGTTTAACCACGAACCCTAACCAATCCCATGATTCGATTTCAATATTCAATCTAAATTTGGTGATTTGCACGTGGCAATTTTTTTAAAAAAATATATAAAAGTTATATTATTAAAATATCACTTCAAAAATATTAAAGAAATATTAAAAAAACTAATTTAATAAATATATAATATATATATGTTAATCATATTTTATATTTAATTGAACCTCCAATTCTTACTCGACATCGTAATGGAGATCACATCTTTTTGCAACGCGCAATAACGATAATGTAATATGGAATTCTAAATTAACTCAATTAAGCATTAGGATTAGAATTGATTCACATGTTTATTATCGTTATGGCTCGCATTCATAAAAAAATTTATACAGTTAATGTTTTCGTATTTCAAATGTTCGATCATAATTTCACGAAATTATCCAATCAACATAAAAGCCCACTACATTGATGACTCCCAATCAGGATTGGTCACTATTGATTATAATAGTTTTAAATAATTTACAATCAGTAGTTTAAATCGTACTCGATTGACTACTATTGATTAAATAGTTTATAATTAGTAAAACATCTAAATTATTTTACCCGTGAATAATAAACAGTTAAATAAAGGTAGACGCAACACCTTTGTTATGCATTCCATACTTTCTTTACAAGTTCAGTCATTCCTACATCATTTGTGTTAAATTCATAACAGCCATAGAGTACAATAAGTGTAGCACCTCTTAAACTCCAAGTTAAAACCTTATTTGAACCCGGGCTGCGATGAGGTGGGAAATAATCAGTAATAATTGCATCAAATCCAATATGGCAATGAAATGGGAGAATGACACCGAAACAAAGATCAGTAATAGGATGAGCTCCTTTTATAACTGATGCGATAGTAAGGGGAATCAAAGAGATAGACAAAAGTCGTTCAAAATCCCAATGATATGATCCTGCAACTTTGTCTTTTGGAGGAAGTACGACTGCCTCATTTACGGTGCCTTTTATGTACTCTACAATTATCGAACATATTAATAAACTATTTTAAGAATTATTTTTTTTTTTTAATGTCAAATAAAAATATAGTTTATTCACCTGCACCATTGTTATTAGGTGAAGCAATGCGAAATCCCCGGTGAAAAGTGAAGCCACTGGCAAAAGGCGAAAGGTGAAGCCCCCGGCGAAAGACTAAACCCCTGGAAAAAGGCAATATCCCAAAGCTCTAATTAAAACAAAAAGCAAAACTGTGTTATTTTTAACACAATGACCGTTAGACACAGAAAAGTAACTTATATACCATTGCTGCTAAAAAAAACTAGCTTGGCTTTTAAATTTACAAATTAAAAGTTTTTTTTTATCATATCGATATCAGTTTTTTTATCGTATCAATCACAATGTTTGTCACGCAGGGCCGATGATTTTCTGCGGTGACAAATTGCCAATTCCGTCCGTGACGAAATCAAATTCCGTGCATTATAAATTGCTTTTTCTGCAGCATTTCAATTTTTAAAGATTCTGCGTAATTTATATTAAAAATATATAAATTCTGCAATTAAATTTTTTTTCTGTAAGTTTATTCGCTAATTTTACCATTAAAATATAACATGTTTAAACTTTGTAAAGAAGTTTCTAACAAACTTTGACGATCACTATCTGAAATTGAATTATATTTTGAAAAACTTCGCTCTACACTATATAAAGAAATAGGTAACCATATATAGTCGAATGCTATTTGAGATAGAAGTTGTAAATACTTACTAACTTTTGACCAATATTCATTTAAATCAATTTCATCTTCAGCATTTATATTATCTTCTAAATTACAATAAATTGTCTATTCATCTAATAAAGCATCAGATGGGTTATTTAATTCAAAAATAATTTCATAGTATCTTAAATTTCTTTGATTAACTCCTCCTGTATAAATAAATTTTGGATTAAAATTTGACAAGCATAAAAAAGTAGCCTATCTGAATGTGAAAGAATATGAGCAGCAAATTTTAAATATGCTTTAACAAAGGTATTTTGAAATATTGAATAAAATTTAAATATTATTAGTAATAATTTTATCTATTTGAAAACCAAAATGTGTAGCTTTTATATTTGATTCAATAAAATTAGTGTTGTTAAAGTCTACTTTTAACATAAAAAATCACAGGTTTTTCTTGTTAAAAAAAATTTAAAATAGATATAGGTTTTGTTTATATAATTATATATTATTGAGTTATGAAGCAATAAGAATAATACAATTATATTTAAATTATAGAAATAGAAAAATATTGAATTTATATATTACTAGTAGGCTTTGATTATAATATAACTTATATAGAGTAGAGCTTAGAAGTAAAGATAATATCATAAATTTAGTATTATACTATATATATATAAGATAGAGTAGAGCTTGAGATTAAAGATATTATATTCATATAATAATAATTATAAGGTTTGTAATTATATTATACTAAAAGCACTTCTCTAATAGAGTTGAATATAATTATCTAGTATAGTTAAAATTGTAAATATGTAAAAAAGAAATTAAATAATTTTCTAATATAAGTAGACAAAAAAAAAATTATTTTTTTT